ATATAGATGAATTATCTAATACAGAGCTACTTGTCTCTTGTAATTATCAGGAGTTTAATATATTTAAAGCAATATTTAAAAAGATTGAGAAAATGCTTATTAAAATTGACGTTTTCAGTTACTCAAAGTATTGACGCACGACAACAAACTAAACGTTTTATATTGCTTATGTATTTCTTATTTATGATATGATTACAGCAGCAGGAAACTCATCACTCAAACTTTTGTTCAATAATATTCTTAAAACGGATTTTGTAATTTACTTACAGCCTGATTTCATAAACCATTTTATCAAATATCATTAAATTAAAATAAAATCCTCACTGACAGATAAATTGATAAATTCAATGTTACTGAATATGCAGATATTATATCGCTAAACTCTTTATCAGTATTGCGTTGTTTGATGTCGATTAATTCTTAAATGCTATGAAATAGAGAACATTACTAAATTCACTTGAAAATTCATTTGTCAATGCTCGGCACTGAATTAATGTGTAACGAATACCGTTATCGTAATTATCTATTATAACTTAACCTGACACATATGAATACAGATGTCATGCTGCAGTTTGTTTGGTGCCACGATACGTGGAATGCTTAATATTCTTTAACTACACTAATTCTTGTTATGTTCAGAAAAATAAAAGTATTTCTTTACACTCTCCTAATTGTGCTCTGAACTTATATCTCATTACTAGGCTATTTATAACTTATACGAAAAATGTATTTCGTTCTAGATATTTGGAATTACCAAAACTTTTATAAATCTATATTAGGGTTATAATATCAAACAGCAGTAAAGTTTCAAAGGTTTATTCAAAAGCCATTTAAATTGAATAATGTGATATTTTGAGAGAAATACAAAGAAACAGAGTTCGATGTTCCAATAAGAATGTAACATCCTTTACTTTCTTACACGTCAGTTTGTTTACCATTTATCCTATCACAGATTCCTCGGTACAATATTTCATAGAAGACGTCAAGAGTTGTTAAGAGTTATCTTTCCGTTTAGTCACAAGGGTAATCAAGTAGTCGACAAATATATAAAGACTTCTTGAGTTTCGAATATTGTATGTTAGCCAAATATATTGAATGATGCCAATCCAGTACAAAACTTTGTGCAACTTCAAAAGACTATAACTATTCCATTTTAGTGAATCCTTACTCGTTCTTCACCACAAAGTGACTTTTTTTCGATAATTCTGTTCTAATAACAACATGACCAACAATCGGATACTGTTATTCATGTATTGCGAAAACCAGACTGTATAGTATTAGATATGACATATGAGTAAATACCGACAGATAATATTTTTTCTTTAATAGTACTTTGATATTCCATAATTGATGTCCTGTGACCGATAAATACACGCTGACCTTCTGCACTATCTTGTTCCTAGTAAACATTACATTAAGTAAATGCGATGAATTATTCAAAGCTTCCCTATTAAAAGCTCACCACAATACTATTGAAGAACATTTGCTGTATTTCTATTTCTTTAATACATTGCAGCCACTGACACTATAGTTTCTCTAAACTCTTCTAAATAATTAAACCTAAGGCACCATACTTACGTTAATTGTTTGTTTATTTGTAATTAAGCACAAAGTTACACAATGGGCTATCTGTGCTCTGTCCACCACGGGTATCGAAACCCGGATTCTAGCGTTGTAAGTCCGTAGACATACTACTGTTCCACTTGGGGGCGCATACGTTAAATTTCTAAGAGCCATAAATAAGACCATACATAGAATTTTCTAATTTAACTTTCAAAACAGTAATACTGTCTATTTTACAGGCTCTGTAGAATAGAAACGTTCACAAAATGGCTTTATAAACAAGTTTTGACGTTCACGTTTTTGTTATACTCTCAAAAATTAAATATCCAGTATATTTTTCTCTATACATAAACATCTTTGACTTTTACTGCACAAACAAATCTTTAAGGATTTAGATTTTTCAGCTAAATATTGTACAGATGGTTTCTCATTCCTTCGTTTTCTAGTAACTTATAATATGTAAACAAGTGGTAATATCTGTTTAATGAACAACAACAACAATTTGGACAATGCACGTCATATTAATCCAATCAGGTAAACCTTAATAAACGTTATTTAACGGAGATATACAAAATTATATGGGATGATTTTTTTTTAGATTTTTATTTGCAGCTGATTTTGATTTGTAGTTTGTTATCTAATGTTTCATGAATGACTAGATGCTTTTGTTTATCGTATAATGACTTACTGATTACTACATAAAATATATTATAAACTATCTTTTAAAACAATCTCTTTTAGTTACAAGTATATTTTCCTGTTACCATAAAATGAACAGAATTAATTCTTCAGTAGTGTCCTTTTGTTTTGATTTTGAAGCAGTCTTTCCAGAATTATAAACAACCAACGCGATATAATTTTCTAAACAAAAATATATAAAAATCTTATTTTCAACACTGTGCAGCCAACTACATCCATAAAAGCAGCTGACGCTATTTAAACATACTTGTTTTAATCTTCTTCAAATCACTAAAAAATTAGTATTAATACTGATTTAAGTAGGTGTAACCCGGATCTATTGGACGACTCCTGGCTGTCTGCCGTGTGGATGTGTGTGTTTGGTATTTGAAGACTTGTTTGTATAGTACTTTGTGATATGTGGTACTGTTTCAAAAAAGGAAGCCAAATCTTTTTAATTTGAAGCGTTTGATGTCTTTTAAGGAATTATTTTTGTCTTGAATCTAGGAGACTTATTTGATTTTCTTGTTTTTCTGTCTCGAGTCATGCCAATGTTACGAGTGGTGTTCCAATCTTTACTGTACCATATGGTTAACGCATGTTCTTCTAAGGCTGATAAAGTGATTTTCATATGCCTGGTGTAGTCCATATTCTCCTTTACTTTCATTTGAATAATGCTCGCAGTCTCGTCACGGAAAAAGTTTCCATGAGCGGAGTTGATCTCAGTAATCTACAACAATCTAGGCTGAGTTTTTGGAACATATGTTAGAATGGCAGTTGTCTGGATTATGCCTAGTTTCAGGTTGTGAAAAACAGTAAGTGAAGTGTATGCAGCCACTGATGTGGGTCGTAATTTTTTGAGGTATGGAACATTTCTTCATGAATGATTGCAAACATCCAACAACAATAGGAAGCTTTCTTGCTTTATTTCTATAGAGAAAGTAAGCTGTGTGAGTAGGATATCCAACTGGTTGAGGAAGGTTTTGAAGAGATATCTGTTATTTGTTATAATGTCGTTGATATTTTTATACATAATGTGGTTTACATTTTACAGATCGATTACGGTTCTCTTGTGTTCTTTTATATAAATGACACTCAAAAAACTTTCTCTGAGCGCTGAAAACTTGACGTAAATATTATAAGGCAAATATTCTCAAATCCTATTTCCAGGATCATATTCCCATGTCTCTGTTGTAGGATAAATTTCGATTATTGTGCTCTTGTGATGATTAAATAACGTTGGTTCATAGTAGTACAGGCTTTGGTTGGTGTATTTGTTTGTTTATTTGTTAGCTCAGAACTACACAATGATCTATCCGTCCACCGCGGGAAAATCAAACCCTGGATTTTAGCATTCTAAGCCTGCGAACATACCGATGGCCCACTGGAATACATAGCTTAATTTAGTCCTGCTCTGAATCCTTGACCTCTGTATGATATCTCAATAACTGAGCATGTTATGTGAACGACCATATCTGTAACATCTACGTGACAATCAATGTGACAGGCCATATCTGTAACATCTACGTGACAATCAATGTGACAGACCATATCTGTAACATCTACGTGACAATCAATGTGATAGACCAAAAAACTCTTTTTTTTTTGTGATCTTTTACTGGATATTAGTGAGTCATTGAAAGACCGTCTTTATTTCGAAAACAGTCTTATTGTGTTAATGCCAAAGTGAAAAGAGATTCCACTGACTTTCATTAAACACTTTGTTTTGTTATATGTTATTAGCTAGAACTCAGAACGGTAAAACACTGGTAAACAGAAAAAACAGGAAGAAAGAACAAAAATATACTAGTATTATATCATCATGTTCGCTGACTAATTAAGTTTGTTATCGACATAATGCTTCTTACGGTAATGAGTTAAATGTTAATATATTACAGCAGTGTTTTTATATTCGTATATAATGTATTTTATAACCTTCATTATAAAAAATCTGCATATAAATCGTAGTTCTAGTTATCATTGACATCAAAATTATATGACATTACCGATTGGAAATATAAATTAAAAATTTCGTTTTATGTGTATATCTGGGAGGATCTAGCGTAAATGTCAAATCACAAAAGCTCCTGTATAAAACACAGCGTGGTCACAAGTAAATAGACACCACCTTTTCAGAAAAAATGAAATTTTTCAATCATATTCACATGAATTGATATATTTATAATTTAATTAATATCTAGTAGATCTTCCTTTCGCTTCGTGGAGTTCGTTGATCCTTAGGGGCATCGTGGGAATCATCTCGTCAATTTTAGATTGTGGGATTTTCGCCCACTCTTGCTTCAAAACTTGGAGTAGATCGCTCTTCGAAGTTGGTTTTTTTGTTGTTTCTTGACTTGCCGGTCGAGTATGGCCCAAAGGTTTTCGATGGGGTTCTTCTTGTTTTTCGTGTTATTCTTTATTCATTATTATAAAAATAACTAAAATGTAAAAATAGAAATCTCTTTAGGTTAGTTAAGGGTAGATTAGGTAAAATAAATAATAATAATATGAACATTTTGTACACTATTGAATAATATAAAGTATAATATGAATATTTCATCAGTACTTAAAGTGAACCATTACGGGATCTTGTGAATGAGATAATGGTTAATTTCGGATTATTTTTAAAATATTTTTCAGAGGAAAATAAAGAAACTTAAGGAAGATCTTACTTTAAATAACTAGCAGAATACACGTTGGTTTACCTTTTAAGGTTTTTGTGTTGTATAATAAACAATATTATTTTTTTTATCCACTAGATATGACTGTTTTTCGGTTTTTCAAAAGGCCAGCTACTCATGCTGCTGCCAGAGTTAAGGCTACTGCACCATCTGAGTCCAGCCCTCTCCTCGCTACCACCAGAAAAAGGAGTCGTTGGCAGCTCTTCCTGCAGTTACCTGGACTAGGGATACTTTGTGGTTTAAGCTCTGGAATATTTTTTGCCACTGGTTCCTTGGTAGTTGCACTTTTACCAGGAATGAACTCCATGGAACTTCTCGTTTTCCGGTCATTATTACAAATGGCAGTCTACAGCTGTGTCATTATTTATGCTCGTCAGAGTTTACTTGGAGTCCCCGGGGAACGGCGGTTTCTCTTATTTCGAGCGATTACCGGCGTGATTTCTGTTAATTTAATATACTATTCCTTTCGACTTATTCCTTTAGCTGATGCTTCTACAATTTCTTTCAGTGCACCAGTGTTCGTGAGTATATTTGCGTGTGTACTTCTAAAAGAGCCATGTGGTGTATTTGACCTGGGAACAGTTATCACTACTATGGCTGGCGTGGTGTTGATTGCCAAACCATCTTTTCTGTTTGGAGGTGACACTGGAGACTTTTCCTCGAAAGACCAAATCATGGGATCCATTATGGCATTCTGTGGTTGTCTCTCAGTTTCTCTGTCCTACATTTCAATGCGAAAACTTCAGAAGACTCACTATTCTGTGATAATAATGAGTTTTTCATTATTGGCTATCTTTGTCAACTCGATTATCCTGACAATCGTGAACGGTTGGTCATTCCCAGCATGCGGAAGAGATGGCTGGCTTCTTTTATTGTTGGGATTTACAGGGATAATTGGTCAATTTTTTGTTACTGCTTCTTTAAAACTGGAGGACGCGGGGCCAGCTTCCATCGCTCGCGCCATTGATGTGGTAATGGCTTTTATTTATCAGGTGGCGTTTCTTGAAGAAAGTATCGAATGGACCAGTATTTTAGGAGCCGTACTAGTATGTTCATGTGTGGTGTTGACCGGTTGGAGAAAGTGGAAGAGACGCTGAATTTCACGTTATTACTAAAAACCGTTTATTTTTATTATAATTATTTAGAAGATTAAAAATGGCTCACATGTGAGTTCAGTAAAAATAAACAATGTATTTTATCACATGTAAGAGAAAAATGTTTCAGATGTGAGATCTTTGACGTTTTAATGTAATTGTCATTAAAATCTTGAAGTAGAGGGATACCTTTTTCGGAAAAATTATAATAAAAATATAGATATAATAATGTTTAGATACATTTTCACGGAACAACAATACATTTAAAGGGACACAACCTTCAGTAGTGCCACGAGTCTTAAGATTATCTTTCAGAGAAACACATAAACTGTTTATTTTATAATGGAAGTTCAAAGCCCCTTAACGACATGTGACGTCAGAAAAGGGGTCAGCTTAAAGTGACCATCAGACGTGTTGAAGTTTGGCAGCCTTTGGATTAACGATCTTTCCACAATTATTATTTTGACATAATTTCTAGTTTTATGTATTATTTTGGATGATTTCCAGTTGAATTTTTGATCAAAATTCCTTATGTATAGAAAAATAATATTTTTAAAACCATTTTTAACACTTTTTACTTTCTGTGGGTCTTGTATTTAAATTTTTCCCATTTCACCAACATACACTTTTTCGAAGAATTATTAGGGGATTATATATATATATATACACACACACTGAGATGCAGACATGTTTGAGAGCAGAAATTTTCTAATGGTGTTGGGATATTTATAATCAATTTTGAACTTGTTGTTTTCAGCCATTTTTCTAATATTAGAATTGTAGTTGACACTAAGAATTTTATTTTTTTCACATGTAGATGATGCTGTTTGCTGGTTAATATACATGAAAAATTTTAATCCCTGTCTTTTGATGAAAATTTTTGATAAAGTTTATAGCATACTTTAACTGTTTAAAAATTATATAACTATTTTAGTTTCTTCGCCAAGGGTTGTATGATGACAGATTCTATAACATCTTAAAACATAAAGTTGTAACTGATGTTTTAACCGTTTTATGATAGCAAGCGAAGAATTGAACATAGCTTTAAAAGTTTATTGTTTTTCATAAATAGAAAGAACAGGTCTTGTTTCTACTCTAGTTATGAGAACGTGTATAAAAATTGGAGCGAATTACTGGTTTTCCATTCATCTTTAAACTTAATAGTACTGGGAATTTCGTTAATCTACTGGAAAAAACTTGAAAATCATTTCTATTGTTCGTCAAACAGAAAACGTCATTAACATATCGGAACCAAACAGAAAACATGTCAGCAACATATTGAAATCAGGGGATTTCCTCTGTATTCAGACCCACTGTAAGAAGTAATTAATTTTCAAAACACTCCACGAAGATGGTACATAAAATTGGAGATAAAGGGTTGCCCATAGCCATTCTATATTTTTGACTGTAATATTGTCCCATGTATGTGAATATATTATCTTTCACACAAATTCCCACTAGGGAGATACAAAAGTGGAGAGGTAGAGGAAGCAGAGTTTTAAATTCAGGTAATTTTCTTTTTAGGAATTCTATTGTTTCATCGATTGGTTTGTTTGTAAACAAAGCACAAACACCAAAAGTGATTACCTGTCTTTCAACGTTGGAGTTTTTGTTAATATTATTGGAGAAATCCATATCTTTCGGAATATGTAACGACGAGAACGTTCCTAGAGCAGGAAACAGGTGTTGTGCTAGCTACTTGGATAGTGAATAAGTAACTAATCCTACATTGGAAATTACAGGTGCAAGAGGGCGGCTATCCTTATGCGTTTTAGGCAGTCTGTAAGGTAATCTAAAATCAAATGTGTGTTTTTCTCACAAACAAACGTTGAACTGTAGAGGACACGTGAAAATTTCGAAACTCGTATCTGTATACTTTTGATGATTGTTCAGTAACAGTGAATCTAAACTTTATTTTAGATTATTTAACACCGCATTGTGTATTTACTTACTATTAGAAAAGTATAGATGCTGCAATATATTTTGTATTAAAATCTTCAAAGTAGAAGAAACTGTAACAAAACATTAAAAAAATCGTTTAAATGATCTATAGTTAGAATTTTGTGAAATAATCATGACAACTGCACATTTTTCAGTGAAACCATTATGCAAATATCCCTGTAAGAAAATGAATGGTTGTGACCTTCGAAATCTGATTTACGTCGGGAAATTTATGTTTTGAGACTCGGCTCGAAAGTTTATGGCCAAATAATTTGTGAAAATGATTACAGCTTTAATATTTATCATTTCGAAACATGACCCACCATGAATCTGATCTTTAATTTACACTTGCGTCGTGGAATCTTTAAAAAGGTTTGGGAAATGTGAATCCTATATAAATGTATTACAGAAAACTGTCATACGCAGAGTTAGAAACTTTGTTAGATAGAAGAACTATATTATTGATTTATTTAAAATAATTCTCCAATAACTTAGTATTGGTTTACTAACTCAATATTACTTTAAATCTAGACAGTGATTATTATAACGCCTGGGTACGACAACAGATTGGGTCCTTATATAACAGTGCCCTCAGTTCAGTTTTATAAGTATGTGTGTAATTTTAATGTAAAAACGTTATCAGTATATCCTGTTTCTGAAGTTAAAGTAATTACTGTTTGATCTAGGTGGCTTGACAAAGGATTTCGTGTTTAGTGTCTCAAGTTGTATGCGAACGAAATTTAATTGTTTTTCCTCTGCATCTTCGGAAATATTTAACATTTTGAAATCAAATGCATATATTTTTAATGTTATATATATATTTCTTTGTAATTGTTTTATTATATGAAAAAAGTATTAAAGAAATGAAAAATATGAGATACGAACAGTCTCATTTACTTTCAAATTTACAACAGACACAATAAGGAATATTAATAAGTTGTTAGACTCATTAACAAAAATCAACGAAAATTAATAGATTACAAAAAAATCAACTACAAGCAATTTTTCGTATCGTTTGATGTAACGTTATTTCAAACATAATGGCGTCTCTCTTTGAAATGTTATTTATTGAAATTCGTACACACAGTTTAAAATTATTTTTACACTCTTATTACTGGACCAAAAAATTTTCTTTCTTTCTTTTTTTCTCGGAAACATGAATGAATTATTTGATGGTTTCAATAAATTCATCTGTAATGCAATTATGATATATATTAAAATTCGAACAGAGAAATGCTTCTTACTCTTTTAAAATATTCAATAACAACAGGGTACATACAGGTAATATCATACTGAAAGAAGTGAACAATCAATTTATTAAAAAAACAACAATAAAAATAAGCCAGACAAAACAACGACAAGATTTAATGAAAGATCACTGTCATTGTAAGTTCTGCCATCAAATATAGTCTACACAGTGACCACTTTATTTATTGGAACGTATTTTTGGGTTTATATACCACAAATGTAACATGATGATTGATAATGGATATAAAGAAAAAGTATTAAATTGCATGATTCGCAATATTGAAATGACAAATAATGGAATTTCTACATATAATATTTGAATCAACACAAGCTTTGTGTCATAATTTTCTAGATACACTTTCTGATTTTTTAGTATTTAAAATTTATAAGGATTGGACAAACTAGTGGATTTGATTCGTTGTTCTTATTATTATATATTACGAAGAACAACAGATCAGAATGGTCAGCTTTTTTTTATTTTCGAAAAAAAAAAACGAGCTTGGGTTGTGTCCCATGGAACAAGACATTTAAAAACCTAATTTATAAGTAAAACCGTGTGCCTAATTACTGAAAACGGATTTTCAGAAAACAAACTTTAAATGAAAAGTGAAAATTGCTCTTCACTTTGGTAATTATGTCTCTCGTAAACCTCCCCCCCCCCCCATTTGTTTCTGTGATTAGGAAAACATACCTTACACTACACGTCTACTAGTGAAGGTATTGCTGTTATCAAATGCACGTTTATCTTTCCTGTACACGTAATAACAAAAGAAAATAGTAACAGCCAGAGCAACAATGGCTGCAACGACGGCGATGCTGATTCCGGCAATTTCCGCTGGTCTCAGTTGACCTGTAACCAAGGAAACAGAGAATGTTCAGTAATAGGACCGCGCATAAAAAATATATAATAACTAACATCAGTGAACGTCCTTTTTTTTGTATTTGGCAAGTTGCTTTCTCAACTACTCAAAAGTAACAAAATACACAAATTTAACATCTTTAAAGCAGTGATCCCCGAACTTTATTGTTCATGAACCATCTCAATGTTATTTATCCCAGCGAATCACAGTGGGACTACATACTATGATTCTACTTCATTTATTTGATTATGCAACCTCTCCACGGACCAAATGAAAGGAACCACGAGTTATTGCATGTTATTTTGTAAATGGCGTTGGTATTGCGTGATTCTAAATAATTTTGTTTAGTAATGATTTTAATTTAGGGCTGGGTTTTTGTGAGAATTTGACATTGACAGGAATATTGTGTTTTATGGCTAGTTTTGTCCAAGTGTGGATAGTTCTTGAGCCGGTTTCAGGAACAAAAGTTAAACTGCAGTGTAATGTACTGTTGTTGGGTTTGTTAGTATCAATTTTGTTCGTGAATTGAGTTTTGTTGTGGGGAATGTTGGAGAGTTTTTCAACAATAGCTGGTGGGAATTTATTGGTGTGAATAAAGGAATGCTTTATATGGTTAATTTCTTCATTTGTGTAGTCCGTTGAACAGTCTTGTGGCTGTGTTTATGAGGTTTTTAAATGTATTGATTTTTTGTGTGGTGTTATGAGCGGAATTCCAGGGGATGTAGAGGCCATTGTGTATGTTCTTGCTGTGAATTTTGGTTTTAAACTCAGTGTCAGATCTAGTAATTTTGAGGTTAAGAAAAGATAACTGTTTATTGTTTTCGTGTTCTATGGTAAATTTGATGTTGGGATGAATGGAATTTATGTGCTTAATAAATTATTATTATTAGTTAAGATATAAAACAAAGCTTTCCTAGTTGACTCGTACACTCTTGTTTGACATATAATGCTAAGAGATGTAAACTACCCCACGATTCGAGCCGGATCACAGATAAGAAAAACTTCAATATCAAACTGGTTAATGAAGATAAAACGGTTATTTTTTTAAATTTTTATAAGCGAACGAAAACATATTTCTACAAAATTAAACTAGGATTAGATACAATATTTTTGTTCTTTTTGCATTTATGAAGTTTTCTTTTTTTTTTTTTTCAAATGAAGTGGAAATGTTTCTTGAGTAAGTTAAATGTTAATGTAATAACTTATAAGTCATGACGTATGAACTCACCTTCCCGTTCGCCTTTGGTGTCCTTTCCATAGTTAAAACCTCCTCCTTGACAGGCGACCTCTGACGCAAGTAAAGCTAATACTAGAAAGAAAAATTTGTAGTTTGATGAACATTATTGACTATGACACTTAATTAAACTATATTTCAAAAGTCAAGTATTTGGAGAGTAAAGTATTTTCTGTTTATTGATGATAAAATTCTATATGATTAATATTCATATTAAACTTTTCACATAAAACAAATATCATTAGAAGCTTGCTGCGCAGAACAATAAGTCCCGACGGTGAAGGGCGTTGTGTTCATACGCATGAGCACTTATACAAAACGTGATTCATTAATATGGTGATAACCTTAATCTTGAGACAATGAAAATTCAGAAGAAGGAAGGTCCAACCTCCGAGAACGCTCGAGTTATCGGTTTTATTGTTTTATTTTTTGAACCTACATGATTTTTCAACATCAAAGAATTCAAACATGTTTTATTACTATATAATTCATGTGGACGTAATTCTATGTTCGATTCACGTTCTGTCGAAGATATTAACATGTTGTTATGCAGGGTGAAAACAGTTTTTAGAGCAGAAGTAAACTTAACATTTTACATACGTTTAAAAAAGATGCAATCACCATTTTCGCGCAAGTTGATGTTTCTACTAGAAATCTGGACAAAACAATATTTCAAGACCTAACACAACTGGGTGGCAGTTTTCTTAGACAAAGAATATTATAAAAACATTCTTGTTAAAGATCGAAACAGAAAAAAAAACTAACAGCAGAGGCGAAGTGAAGTATGTATAGGCCCCCATGCGAATTCTCCCATCAGGATCCATTGGTATCCAATTTATCATAGCTCTGGGCTCCTATTTAGCGTGCCCCACCAATGCGTTATGAGGAGGAGTCTGCGGGGACAGTTGCTACATCCTTGCCTGCCGATTTAAATAGATAATAAAGATGAAAACTTACAAAACTAGTATTAGAAGGCGCCGTGGCTGAATATTTTTGACAGCCTGGAGGTTAGGGCGTTCGACTCACAATCTGAGAATCGTAGAATCGAAACCTTTCACCGAACATGCTCGCCATTTCAGTCGTGGGGCGTTATAATGTTACAGTCAATCCCACTATTTTAATGGTAAAAGTAACTCAAAGTTGGCAATGAGTGGTGTTGACTAACTGCCTTCCTTCTAATCTGTCACTTAATTTAAAATTAGGGGTGGCTACACGTACAGATAGCCCTCGTGTTGGTTTGCGCGAATTTCAACAAACAAATAATTTTCAGACGCTATTACACGTTTTTTGAAATGATATGAACGAGTAAAAACATTGTGTTAGTTATTTAGTTATAAATACGTAAAATAATGCGAGATGTCGTCATGGCAATCATTGTTCAAGAGTTCCAGAAAAATACGTAACTACAACAAGTGGGATTTTATGTTGTTAAAATTTTTAGTTTTCAAAATATCTTAAATATTTCTAAGGACTTAAAGCAATATTCATTTCTTTGTTAACATAAAAATAATTGGTTGATGAGTACATGATATGACACGCCATTTTCTAAGAGGTAACATGAGTTTATTCTTCTGTATATTATTCGAACACTAGAGTATACACTTATAGTTCAAGTATAATTTTTTTTTCATACCTTCTGTAGATTTTAAGGTTAAAAAATAAATACATTTTGTCTATATCAGAGCAAACCCACATTAGACTATCTGCGGTGTCCACCGCGAGTAATCGAACTCGGATTTTAGCATTGTAAGCCCTTAAACTTATCGCTGTCTCATCAGGATATGATTACTCTTTGTCATAGCATTTTAAGCATAATGAATAGTTTTTTCTTCTTTTAAATAAAACTAGGCTTAGTCTTAACTTGATCCACATTTAGGCAAGATGTTTTATCGGAAAACGTGACGCCATTAAAAAGACTGTACTAACACCAAATTATATGTTTAATAAATATTTATTACTACATCTATTAAAAATGCTTTATTAGAAGTGTTTTGATTGAGAAATAGAATGTGATATTAAAAATAATTATTTTGAGTTCACTTTTCTTAATCAATTTTATAGTTATCAGTTAGAGGATAAAGCGGGAAACAAATTGTCAGCCATATTGACTTACCTGCCACAACTGCTTGCCACTTCATTGTTACTAAGTGGTAGTTCTATTTTTCTTTCTGTATTCTGGTTGACAAAACCAAATAGAAGTAATCTTGTTTTGTACCAATTTTTGATTTACAAAAAAAAAGAAATATGACGGTGAAAACCTCAAATAACCAAGAATCGAAAATCCAAATTAATGACCGTTAGCGACTGCTAGGATTGCATTCAGTGATATCTCTGCTTTTGTTTATTGGAGCACAGTAACAAGAGTTGGAATTCGCCCGGTGTTCAGGTAGAACTGATAAAACATCACCACTGTGGCTGTACAGATAAAAACAGTTATTTCAGAACACTCTTGAATGATTAAGCGCATTTCCAGAATAGTATGAGGGTAAACATTGCTGCCACAAAAGGTATGAGCGTGTGTTATACAAGTATGCCTATATAATTGTGTGAAATTCATAAAGGAAGCTTTAACATTGTCACAAACCAAGCCTTAGAAATTGGTATCTTCAAATAATATATATCGATTTTTAAACAGCGATAAAGCTTCGGAATTTTGAAACCTATATTGCATCATCACAAAATAAGACATTTTGAAATTGCTTTAATACACAATTTACATAGTATTTCCCATAATATGTTTATAAATATTTATGCATACGCAAAATGAATGATAATTTTAGGTTTTCGTTTTAAAATCAACATTTCAATATGTATGCTACTTCAAATTCAGTAAAAACAGTGTAACGCGTGTAACATTAGACTTTTAGTCATATATTATTATACATTATTGATTTGAGATCCAAATATGTCTAAATAATAAAAAAAATACATTTGCAGTCAAACGAGATTTTTTCCTAAAAAAACTCTTTGTTTCACAGGCTTAGGTTTTTGTTCACTGCAGTATTTAATTAAACATCGTCAAACTACCAAACGTTAGAATCCCAAAAATGTTCAAAATACAATGGCTAACGAGTTTTTGTATAGAAAGAAAATTAGCATATTGTTGTAACTTTGTTCTTTTAAATTATTTGGGGAAAATAATTCGAACCCCAGTCCATTTGACGGTGACAAATTAGTTTATTTCTTCCTTAAAGTTTCTACATGCTTCACTTGTACACTTTTGTAACTTGCAGGCCTAAGTTTAAAAATGAAGTTCAACCGGAAATACTTCACTAATTGTACTATAACTAACGTAAAAATAGACTTAGTTCTACAATTTTATGGTTAATCAATTGAGTACTAAATATATGTAATAACTAACACAGATCCAAATACTTCACTGAAACTAAATCTCAATGAATAATTGATACTACAGCAAAAGAAATCAAACACCAGCTTCACTGATGCTTTTATTTGTAATCTACTCGCACTCTCGATAATCTCTGAATTTACTAAATTCGTGACGTCAAATTTAGAATATTCTAGATATTCAAAGCCTACTTTATAATTTTGAAGCTGACGTCCGAATTAAAGCACTGAATATAAAGCTTACAACTATATATACACGTGAAAATTTTCCAATTGGAAAGATGAAAGGCAAGAGTGAGAAAACAATGATAGAGAGCAAAAGTGGATGTTATCCAGAGAAACGAAAATGAATAAGTAAATAAATAAGGAAATTAAAGTCAAAAACTCATACAGCCAGTTCTTGTTTCAATATATGTTAAATTTGCTGTCATGAATTCATGAATGTGTGTGTATATACACTGAGTGGTCACAAGTAAATAGACACCTAATTTTTCGTCATTTAACTGATTTATGCTAACTAATTTGTGTTCACAAAGCACTATATAAATGAAAAGGGTCTAAACACTAATTATCTTGTGCTACAACATGCCTAGAACTCAAGGTTCTCTCGAACTGTCAGATTTTGTTAGAGGAAGGATTGTTGGTCAAGCAGATGGTGGATTAGGTCAGCGGCAAATTTCGCAGAATTTGGGAATCCCGCTTTCGACAGTCAACAGAATCATCGTGCAGTTCAGGAAACACGGGAAGGAAACAACTGAGCAGCATCCGGGTCCATTGGAGAGGACAAAAAGAGCTGTCAAGAGGAGCATCGAAATGGATTCCAGATTAACGACTGCAGAAGTGGCCAAAGTTGATGGGATGAGCCCGAAATCTGTTCAACGGATTCTCCACAGATTGGGAGAAAAAAGTGGGCAAGTTATATGATGACCAAGCCTCTGGACTTTTGGAAGACCATATTGTTCTCATACGAATCAAGATTCGCTCAATTTTCGATCAGTGGAAGGATATGGGTCTGGAGAATGCCTCGCCAAGAGTTTTGGCTCAACAGATTGCAGGTGAAGCGTGGTGGTTTCAGCGTGATGGTTTGGGGAGCTGTTTGGGTTGGTGGGAGATAGACCTTAGTGGAGTGCGTTGGTAACATAAATTTTGCGAAATACGTCGAAATATTGGAGGAAGGACTCTTGCCACTTTATTCCTCGAGTTTCGTGGACAAGAACACAACGTTGTTCCAGGAAGATGGAGCACCGTGTCACACTGCTAGAAACACCCAAAAGTGGCAGGAAGAAAATGGTATCCAGAAGTTGCCCTGGCCGAGCCAATCTCCTGACATTTTTTGCTGTCCAGTATCGATGACACTTAGCCCTACTTTTTTTATACTAATGGTAGTAGTGCATTAAATAATTTTTACTTAATTAAATAATGCACCAAAGAACAAAAACTAATAACATGCAAAAAGCAGACAGTTTCCTCTAACAATCACAATATTTCTGGCTTTCTAACTATGTGACAAAAGCTGTTACAAATACATCCCAGCTAGCCATTGTGATTCCGGTGGGAACCAAAGTTGAATTAGAAGTGAAATTGACTTTCTGTGTCCAGAACACAACGTAATAGAATACGTCATTTGATAGATGAAAACCTTGGCTTTCTATTGGTTTGATGTAATATATAATTAAACGTAAGAGAGAACTATTGACAAATCCTGAAAGAGAGGAAGTGGCAGGAGGGGGTTTGACTATCTATTTGATAGCTATGTAACCAAACAAAATTGAAGGCTATAAAAATTGTGGTTTGTCTGAGCAATGACAATTTTATAGCGAGTAATTTATGTTTAACTTCATAGTTTCTTGTGTGTGTGTGTGTGTGGATAAATAA